ATCAGTGAGGGAACACTGCATTTGCAAATTGCTGCTTCTTGAACTTCCTCTCCTCCCTCTCTGCCATCAACTATGGATGGGGAGCTTTGTTCTAGTTGAGTATTTATTTTAGACAACTGGAGCAAAGGCCTTAAGGAAAGCATAGTCTTGATCTCCTTGTTTATAGAGAAAATGTATAGATCTGAAATTAACTTCCACTGGGCCAACAGCTGAAGGAGCTAGAAGATCCATATATGGGATACAGATCAACCAGGGGTTTTCAGCTTTCAAAAAAGAAGACAGCTACATACATACAAACGAAATTCATTTGTCGGTGGGTTGTTGTGTGTTTTCCAGGCTGTATGGCCATGTTCCAGAAGCATTATCTCCTAACGTTTTGCTTGCATCTATGACAGGCATCCTCAGAGGTTGTGAGACCTCATAACCTCTGAGGATGCTTGCCATAGATGCAAGCAAAACGTCAGGAGAGAATGTTTCTGGAACATGACCATACAGCCCAGAAAACACACAACGACCCAGTGATTCTAGCCATGAAAGCCTTTGACAATACAAATTCATTTAGCGTTTTGCAGAAAAGCAAGTTTAAGATTATGGAAGTCAATCAGGATTTTCTACAAATCTACAATACAAATAAGGAGCAAGCACTAGTGAATAAGTCCCCAAATTTGGAAGCAACACATTACAACAGCATTTGGGTGATTAAGAAAAAACTGCAATATTAATGCTAATACATTATGGTTGAAATGTAACATTATACTTTCTTGTCATTTAATAAAACATTTGAATAATAATAATAATAATAATAATAATAATTTCTTTGTATCCCGCCCCATCTCCCAGAAGGGACTTGGGGAGGCTCACAAAAGCACTCAAGGTGCTGCACATAAAAATAAAATTACATAGCACCATCAATTAATTGAATACAAACAATGGACAACATCAATTGATAAAATTAAGAGTTTAAAAATTATAAAACACAGTCAAACCTGTGTGTCCTTGGGCTTCTTCAATCATGAATTAAAGTGCCAAGCAACAATGGTCGACATCATCACATACAAACATAGTACACTACTCCAGGTCAAAGGCCTGTTTAAATAGCCATGCCTTTATGCTAGACTAGAAGGTTTGGAGAGTTGGGGCTAATCTAATCTCTCTAGGGAGGGCATTCCAGAGCTGGGAAGCCACCACCGAGAAGGCCCTCTCTTTCGTCCCCACCAGTCGCACATGTGATGGTGGTGGGACTAAGAGAAGGGCCTCCCCAGCAGATCTCAGGGCCTGCCCGGTTCATAGAAGGAGATGCGGTCTCAAACATAGATTAGACCTAAAGTGTATCATATTACATTCAAAATGGAATCTAACATGTTATAAATTTCCAAGTAATGCCAATACATGGTAATCACCCTCTCATTAACATTTCCAACTCTGCTCCATCCCATCTCCTTTCAATATAGCAAACTTTTTTCATTATGTATTTATTTAACATGTTGATAAAACATTAATTGCGAGGCCATATATCAAGGAGAAACATCAGAAGTTCCAGCACTTGGCAGTTCCGTGTCCCATTACCTGAATATCAGTTCCAGAAGTATCACAATTATCCACACTACACTTATTATTGACAAAAGAGACAAAACAATTTGTAACAGACAATAATATCAAGTGTTTGTAGAAACATGATTAATAAAGTAAATGGGAAAAATACTCACCATGCATATGAAGTAGAGATAGGAAAAGCAATGGCAAAGGTTCATTATATATTGATTAAAACACACAATTTTAAATCTTGTTAACTGTGCTGGTAACTTTCCATATATTTTGAATCAGTCCTTGTTCTGCACTACTTTATACAGGTAGGGAATGAATCCAAAGGAAATATGTGAGCAATGAAGATGGCATCTCAAAAATCATTGTCGATGGTGTTAGTATTCATACCTCCGTTTACACCAGATCTGAGCAAGTAGGCTGTTAGGAATGGTGGGAGTTGAAGTCCAAAACACTTGGAGGGCACAAGTTTGACCAGGACTGGTTTACACTCTATGCTTCACAGTGGTTCCCAACCTGTGGTCTGTGGACCATCAGTGGTATGCTAGAATGAAAATATGGTCCGCAGCTTCACCACTGCTATACTGTTGCCTTGAAACCACACAACAACAGCATACTGGTCTCGCAAAACCCTCTTATGGTGCCGAGGCCACAGGGATGTTGGGAGGGGAGAGGCTGACTACTTATGAAAGATTACTACTACCACATAAGCTCTAGATTATTAAATTGGTTTTTCTGTGGGCAAGCAGATGGGAGACTACTGGATGGCATATGTTTTGTGTCAGAATCTAGAGCTGATGTGATCTGTCCAATGCAATTTTCTGAATCAGCATCCCAAATAACCAAACTGAATCTAAAATTGACCAAAAACTGATTCGTAACCCATTTGGTACTAATGTTGGAGAGTCAAAGTGGTCCCTGGTTATGTGGTCTTTGGTCAAAAAAAGGTTGGGAACCACTGATGTAAAAGATCTATTTTCATGTTCAGTTGCAACATTTACTTCCCCAACTTTTGAGCTTCTGCTTTGGAGACCATGGTTCATTTGTGTTTGTTTCCTACTCAAAACAGACTTTATTTAAAGATGCATGTATTTTGATCCCTCTATCCCACCAACCTGAGCAAGGAACACAAGGGGTTCTGTGTATTGTCGAAGGTTTGTGGTCAATGATGAGTCCCTGCAAGTATTATCTTCTACTTTGACAATTATTAGGTTTATGTTCATTTTAGTGTCCAGCATGAGTGGTCATACCACAGCTGCACAATTGTCAAATGTTAATGTTTGTTAAAGACCAAACAAGACATCATAAGCGCAAAGTATATATTTATATCATGTAAAACAAAAACAGCAATGAAAAAAAAGGTATTACATATAAGAAAATATTGTAACAGAATTTACTATGGTACCTAACAGAGGCATGCTCTTACATCTAAGAAAATATAATATTCATAGCTATATATATATTTGAAAAGGTTGTGTTTCATAGTCCCAAAAACATTTTAAAATACAGAGTTTGTTTATCCTAAAGAATAAAAGTGTCATTATAGAAAGACAGACACGCCTGCCTCTTGTATAAAAACATCCCTCTCCCTCCCCCCAAATGATTGCAAGTGAATTCATTATAGTCATTGAAGTTATGTGCAAAAGCTAAGTTAATGGTTAATCGCTCGGAAATTGTCTTACTATCTCTTGCATTGCTTGAGTTCCAACACTGATTGGTACAATTTTTGATCCATACAATTTATAGAAACAGTACATATTCCAAAGTAACTGTGTTGCCAGACATACACAAGTATTTGTAAGCTTCAGTTGCATTCTGAACACACATGTACTTAAAAAAAATATCTAGAAGCTACAAAGTTAGGACAGTGATCTGCTTAAATATATACACCAATCAATACAAAATTCTACCCATAACACTTTCTTTTTCTGCATTTCAATACAAAAAAAGTTAAGCAACTTTTGTCAAGTTATAGATTCAAATAAAAACTTCCAATCAGACTCATGCGTGTTTTTTTTCTTTTGCCAACAGTACAAAGTCATCTCTAAGGCACTTTTCCCATCCAATGAAGAGGCTTAAAAAGTAACTAGAGTTAAGTACTGCATAAACGGCTTAGTGTTAAGAGAAATTCAAGAATTCCCAGGTTTATGTCGGTACCTCTCCAGCAGTGCTACTCAAATACAGAATAAGCTGTGTAGTGTATGTACAACAAGGATTTTTGAAAAAAATAAATTCCAACTTTAAAGCTGTGACCAAGAAAAGCAAACAGAAACTATTTCTGTGCATCTCTATGCAATACCCGGGATTGGAATTCAACCGTTCCTACTTACTGCTCAAATAGGGACAAGTGGTCCTCCACAGTATCTGGATACAAACAGGCAAACCAACCCGCAGGAACTTTGAATCTCCTACTTTTCTTCATTCATATAATTACACGTATATTTAGTGTCAGTTTGTTTTTAATATACTTTTCAAAAAGGGAGGGGAGACCAGGAAGACAGCAGGATTTTCTTAATGGCAGTATGATCTGCTCTGGCAATCTGCTTTTGTCAACAGTCTTGGGAGGTTAACGTGATATGACAGGGGGGAAAAAAGAAGCAAAGTAGTTAATTCCACTTCTGGCCAAATAAGTTCAGTTTTTAATGGCCAAATCTGTTAGTCCCAACTAGAATAGTATCAACAGAACTGAAATACTGAGTAGTTGTTGTTGTCTGTTTTCTGGGCTTTATGGCCATGTTCCAGAAGTATTCTCTCCTGATGTTTTGCCTGCATCTATGGCAGGCATCCTCAGAGGTTGTGAGGTCTGTTGGAAACTAGGAAAATAGGGTTTATATATCTGTGGAATGTCCAGGGCGGGAGGAAGAACTCTTGTTTGTTGGAGTAAGGTGTGAATATAGCAATTGGCCACCTTGATTAGCATTTAACAGCCTAGCAGGACTATCTTCTTACTGCATGGGGGAATCCTTTGTTGGGATGTGATTAAATGCCAATCAAGGTAGCCAATTGCTACATTCACATTTATCTCAAACAGACWAGAGTTCTTTCTCCCACCCTGGACATTCCAGAGTTATATAAACTCCACTTTCCTAGTTTCCAACAGACCTTGCAACCTCTGAGGATGCCTGTYATAGATGCAGGTGAAACATCAGGAGAGAATGCTTCTGGAACATGGCCATACAGCCCGGAAAACACACAACCAACCCAGTGATTCTGGCCATGAAAGCCTTCAACAATACATGGAACTGGAATAATTGTTGAATTATTGAGTTCCAAACAAACAAGTGGATTTTGGCCAATATCTTCTAGATCAGTGGTTCTCAACCTTGTGGGTCCCTACGTGTTTTGGCCTACTACTCGCAGAAACCCCAGCCAGTTTACCAGCTGTTAGGATTTCTGGGAGTTGAAGGCCAAAACACCTGGGGATCCACAGGTTGAGAACCACTGTCCTAGACTGAAAATTTTAGCTTGAAAAGTGACGAGATTGCCACCCCTGAACATTTGGACAAAATATTAAAGAGAATGTTGACAGCCTCCCAAGATACTTGTTAATGCTAATGTCATTTTAAAAAAATAAAAAAACATAATTCATAGCTTATGCTGTAACATTGATTCATGCTCACTTTGTTCACTTAAAAATACTCTTTGGAAAACATCATAATTCCTACAGACAACTTTGAGGACAATCTTATTTCCTGTTGAGTAACCATCTCAAGATGTACTCCTCATTCCCCCAACTTCAGTGCTAATGTCTATAACTAAAATACACTACTACTACATGCTTGGGTCACCATCTAACACATATCTTTACAGTCTTCTATAGGCACCACGGCTTAACTTGTCAGTATGCTTTTGATGCATCTTAACTTGAATGTTCGCATCGTTTCGATTGTAAACTCCGATGACAGACAGTGCAGAGCAGATGATGCCATCTAACAAACTACAAGAAAGCATCCATTTTCATCCATCGGGGACTTCACCATCTCAAGCCACCAATTTCATCTCAATGTGGCAAGAGCTGTCCCTTGATGAAGAGATGTCATGTTATCATTTGCTACATTTAATACAAGGCTAATTGGAAATCCTATAAAAACACATAGATTAATACAGTTCCTCTGAAATAAAGTGGGATTAACTTTCAAATAAGTGTATTTACGAATAGGAAGCATTAACAACTTCCAAACTTTGACCTAACGGAATATTTGCTTCAAGTTGCCAATCCTTTAGTCTAATGAAGTTCTCCCCAACTTGGTGCCATGTTGGACTACAGCTCCCACAATCCCCAAGGGATCTCACTGGGACTGTGGGAGTTGTAGTTCAATAAATCTGGAGGGTACCAGGTCACGGGAGGCATATTTAAAGAATACATTCAAAGCTATCTTTTAAGAAATTACAAGCAAAACACAAGAACTATAGATATTTGTTGACTATGCTAGTTAGGTATATAAAAAGTCAACCATTTCAGACTTAAATAAGACTAGGTGAAGTCAGGAAATTTTAGATTTCACTATGTAAAAATACAAAACAAAACACACAAAACCAATAACACTTTTGTCCTAATCTAGTACTAAAATTAAAAAGTCTAAACTTTGCAAAGAGAAATATAAGCAGAAGAGGCATTGATCAAGGTTCTTAGAGTTGGTGTGTAAAATGACTTCTTAATAGTGTTATAAAATGTGAAAAAGTTAACCGAGAAAAGTAGCAAATAGCTGACACAATTGCCGTCATGCCTTTTTGGTGAATTGGGCCCAACAGCAAAAAAAGTTTTCAGACATCTTCTAATTCTTATCTCCAAATCAGTATTGACTTCTGTTACATCAGATACATCATTTTTGGCTTGCTGGACCAGTAAGTCATTTTTGCCGCTTGCCACGGGCATCACAGCAAACAACAAGCAGAGTCAACAACAGGAGGGGACATGCAAGGTTCATATTATTCGATAAAACAAAATGCAAACAGCTAGCAAGACAAAAGGAATGGCAGTCATCATCCCATAATGGGGCTGGTCTCTCCCTCCTTCCACTTTCTTTCTCCCCACTACCACATCCTCCCCTCCTCCACTACCACTATGGTGAACAGTAGTTGCAACAGCCGAAACAAAACAAAACAAGATACTAAAACAAATAATCTAATTTGTCAGAGTCAAATGTCAAAGAGGTCAGCAGTATAACAGCAGCGATTGGACAAGGAAGAACAAAAACATGGGATGAAAAGAATCTGGAGTATTTTGTTCATTTATGTGTTTTCCTCTATGATCTTAAGCCAAGAAGCCCTTGCCGCACAGACTTGTTCTGAACATCAGGTACGTGTCTTATCTCCTTAGATCCTTCAAAGACTTCAAAAACTCCATCTCCCTGAGGCCCCTATAACCAGGTAAGAAAGCTTTCTTTATCTAGCTTGGTGGCTGCCAACACGGACTCCATATCATTAAGGATATCGGAGCTCAAAGCTTCTTGTAGACTTGGCATGAGTTCCTCTCCTTCTATATTCATTGCATCTCCTTCCAGTGTTCCAAGGTCCACGTTAGTCCCTGGAATGGCTTCAAGGTAGTCTGGAAAACGGTTCTGATGAGAAGGGATGTTGCTTTGGTTGATAGTGTCACCTAGATATAATATGGATGCAAAGCAGGAGTGTTAAATACATCATATCTGAATAAACTGAATATTTCTTCCTATAGCAGCCATCTATAAAATTCTCCTGCCTGACCCATTATGTGCAGTAAACTTTATGCCATAAGTTTGGCACATCAGTATCTAGGCCAGGGGTCCACAAACTTTTTAAACAGAGGGCCAGGTCACAGTCCCTCAAACTGTTGGAGGGCCAGATTATAATTTGGAAAAAAATGAATAAATTCCTATGCGCACTGCACGTCTTATTTGTAGTGCAAAAAACACTTAAAACAATACAATAATTAAAATGAACAATATTAACAAATATAAACTTATTAGTATTTCAATGGGAAGTGTGGGCCTGCTTTTGGTAGATGAGATAGGGTTGTTGTTGTTGTTCTATGCTTTCAAACTTAGGTTGACCCTGAGCAAGGGCCGGGTAAATGACCTTGGAGGGCCGTATCCAGCTCCCAGGCCTTAGTTTGAGGACCCCAGATCTAGGCAATGGTTCACTGAACACACTGCGAAGAACAAGTGAGACAATATTTAAGAATATTAACAGAATACAGCCATCAAAGTTAACAGAAATTACCCCCAAATCTTCACACAATCCCAACAAATCCAGCAATAACAACAACAAAAACAAAAACAACAACAACTACTACTACTACTGCTACTACTGCTACTACTATATTCTTATACACCACCATCATCTCTCCTAAGGAAATCCAAAATGAAATCAAAAGGACACTAATGAAATGCCCCATGCACACCAGCAATTCATTATCTTAATGTCCATCTGAAAACTTCTCCATCACCTAAACTCTATAGATATGAGGCATGACAAGAACAAAAAATACATTTGAAATCCCCCAGTTAGCAAAAGCACCAAACAGAAGTGCAAATCAAAAATACAAACCTGTATCCATTTCTTCCACACTGTTGAGGAAGTCGTCTGGAGTTCGGGGGACACTGTAACTGCTCATGCTGAGGCCACTGTCTGTACTCTCATCTCTCGAATGATAAGTTCCACTGAAAGGGAAGTAAATTCAAATGTATTTTGCTATTTATTTTCTAAGGACACCGTAACCCTAATTATACAAAATATTGGTTTAAACACAAGACAATGTGTTTATTTGTTTATTTATTTATTTACAGTATTTATATTCCATCCTCCTCAACCCGAAGGGGACTCAGAACAGATTATAGAACACATATACGGCAAGCATTCAATGCCGGATATACAATGACAAGACAGACAACAGATAGAGGCATTATATAGGCTTTCCCCCATCTTTTCAGTGTCTTTGGAGGCTGTGCTTGGTTCTGGCCACAGGGGGGTGCTGTTGCTCCATCTTGCTGAAGAGCTTTCTTTGTTTGTAAACTTTTCCTCCTTTTTCTGATTGAAATGCAGTGCCTAAAATACCTCCCAGTTTTAATGCAGTTCCTATTTATCTACTCACATTGCTGTTTTGGATCTGCTAGGTGGGTGGGGAGCTGAGCTGAAAGTCAGGAGCTCACCCAGTTTCGAATTGTCAACCTTTTGATTGGCAAGATTTACTGCAGCTGCAACTGGTGATTAACCTCCTGTTCTCATCATAACATTAGTGATCTTTGAAAATAATGCCTGTCTGGGCATTGAATTCTGCAAAGAACACAAAATACTGTAACAGAACAACATTTTTTTTAGAATTGTATGCCTCCAAAGACACAGTATTTATATTCCAGTATTCCAGTTTTTAGGAATAATTCCTATAATTGTAACAATAGGAAGGGAATCTTCATTTCTCCCCTGCCTTCTTTATGCGGAGGCACAACTGGATCATTTATCACAATGGTGAGACAGCATCGCGGCATTTCATATTTTATCTATGGCTAAACGTGTGGGTAAAGAACCTGCAAGGCATAGCTGGGCCAGTTCGGAAGCCTGGAGTTTTATATGACTGCGATAGAGAAAATGTCTGAAGTGGATTTGCTTGCACTGAACTGACTTACGGTATATGAGACACAGAATGGTACTTGGAGGCATGTCATGAACTGCATGTTACAACACACCTGTGTTTTTTTTGGTTCACTTTCACTTTTGTATTGTTTCTAAATGTTGTTTTACTATGGCTTTACTCTAAAGCTATTTTTTTTTTTTGTAATTTGCACCTTCAAAATTGAATGCGCACTACATTAGATGGTATGGGTAGTTGTAGGTTTTTCGGGCTATATGGCCATGTTCTAGAAGCATTCTCTCTTGACGTTTCGCCTGCATCTTTTATTTATTGGTTATTTATTTATTTCAAGCATTTTTACCCCCAGAGGGGGGACTCAGGGCGGCTTACAGCCGGCACAATTCAATGCCACTACATAACAAATAATGCATACAGCAATTACCTATGCATAATACATTAAATTAGATTAAATTTTGTTTAAAAATAAAAAGTACAATGATAAAAGTACAATAATACTGGCTGTCTAGCCTTATCTAGAAACAAATTCAGCGAACACAACACAATCGGAAGCCTATCCATAGTCCATTTTCCATAGCCTTATCAACATTGTCATTGTCAATTATCTGCAAGCTACCCAAAGGCCTGGTCCCATAACCACGTTTTCAATTTTCTCCTAAAGGAGAGGAGAGATGTTGTTGACCTGATTTCGTTGGGGAGCGAGTTCCACAGGCGGGGGGCCACTACCGAGAAGGTTCTGTCCCTCGTCTCCACCAAATGAGTTTGTGCCAAAGGCGGGGCCAAGGGCAGGGCCTGCCCTGAAGATCTTAAACTTCCAAGTGGGATGTAGAGGGAGATATGTTTGGAAAGGTAAGCTGGGCCAGAGCCGTACAGAGCTTTATAGGTCAAAACCAGCACTTTGAATTGTGCTCGGAATTGGACCAGCAGCCAATGGAGCTGACATAACAGAGGGGTGGTATTCTCCCTGTATGACGCTCTGGTGAGTAATCTAGCTGCTGCCCGTTGGAGTTTCTGAGCAGTCTTCAAAGGCAGCCCAAGTAGAGTGCATTGCAGTAATCTATTTGGGATGTAACCAGAGCGTGGACCACTGTGGCCAGATCAGGCTTCCCAAGGAACAACTTCTGAGGGTGCCTGCCATAGATGCAGGTGATACGTCAGGAGAGAATGCTTATAGAACATGGCCATATAGCCCGAAAAAACTACAACAATCCAGTGATTCCAGCCATGAAAGCCTTTGACAATACATTAGATGGTATGTTATATTTGAATAAATGCAGTACTTTAAGAAGCGTCCAACAAAAACAGTTGTAGTGTGGTTATGTCTTAAGCAGAATCAGTGCCCTCACCCAAGCTTCAGCAACATGAGATCTATCAACTCTTTTCTGAATTGCCCGCAGGTGAACCATGATCACCCCTATGAACTCATTGCTGACAGTTTTTTTTAATTCTTTCACTGACTTCCTTGACCTTCTATGGCTTAATGGGTGCAACTCTGCCAAACTACAGGTCCGCCTGGGCTAAATAAACCAAGGGAGGACCTATTTTCAAAACCATAAGTGCTTTCTACTCCTCTCTTGGAAAATCCTGCTACCAAACCTGACAAGACCTTAAATGTGAAATGGAGAGGAAGAGCTCCACAGAAGTATTTTAAAACGTCAGCAATTTGGGGATAAGGGAGAGCCTTGAAGGAGGTACAGCTTTTCTTTGGAGGAGATACAGCCTTTCTTGGTCTGGCAAAAGGGAGGCCAGGACGGATTCCTCATTTTCATGCTGCACAAAGAGGGTTGTAAACATTTCTTTAAAACGAATCTTAGGCGAACAACACTGTTAACAAGAACCCACAGGTTCCACAAATGAGAGTCAGAAAAAAAAGCTAGCCTATAGACCTGTAATACAATATGCAAAATCTTATCACCCTTTCCTGTGTCAGTGTTACAAGGGATAAAAATAGAAACAAGAATGCTGGAGAAACTCCTTAAACTGAGCCTCACAGTAGATCTCATTGCTAGCTATTCAAAAGCTTTTCCGAGCCAGTAATCCTAAACGGCTGTACATCAATTGACTTGTGCCTGGGCAAACATGTTATGACTTTGAAGACGAGCCCTTCCTACATGTCTGAACAGTTGACTTCCTCCCCCAGGAGACAGCTTTTAATCCTCATTAAAAAAAACCTTCATCTTTCCTTAAATGGCAAGTCCATTTGCAGCTGTGGATGTTAGAGCAGACAGATGTTCAAAACAGATGATTACATATACCAAACAGAATTTGAAAAACATCATTCATTGGTGAAACGAAACCACAGTTACTAACCTGTTGAGAAAAGGATCTGAACTATTTGTGGTCATTGTTCTCAGTTCTTGAGACATCCCTGGAGAGGATACTGGATTCTGAGAGCCATCTTGATCCATACTGGGAAGCTGACTACGGAGAGCCAATTCCTGCCAACCAAAAAATCCACATTTGGAAATCTCACACAAGGTTCAAATTTTATCATTACCAATGAAAGATACACAGGCCTATATCCACAAGCATGCAACATGCCTCTGAAAACCACAATATGTTTTGCAATATAAGTTAAACGTTTGGAAAATAAAAATAATCGCCATAGATGATTCATATAAATTTAAATTAGATGGTATGCTCCAGCCTGGCAAAGTGGCTTTCATGTTGGACTATGATTCTGGACAACAGGGTCTAAAGCCCCACTTAGTCATGAAAATTTACTGGATGATCTACAGCAAATCACACATACTGAGCCCCAGAAAACCCTCTGGTACATTCACCTTAGGCTCAAGACACAACTTGAAGGTATGGAACAACAAAGTACCCTATACACTTGAGTATAAGCCGACCCGATTATGAGCCCAAGCACCTAATTTTACCACAAAAAACTAGGAAAAACTTATTGACTTGAGTATAAATCGAGGGTGGGAAATGCAGCAGCTACTGGAGAATTTAAAAACAAAAATAAATACCAATAAAATTACATTAATTGAGGCATCAGTAGGTTAAATATTTTGAATATTTATATAAAACTGTAATTTAAGATAAGACTGTCCAACTCTGATGAAACCACTATTCTAACCACCTTCAATGTAAATGTATTAATGTATTCTTCCAATAATAATAAAGAGTAAAATAATAAATGTAATAATAACAATAGAGATAAATAATAAATGTAATAAAAATAATAGCAGAGTAAATTAGTGTAACTGTAATAATAATAATAATTATTATTATTATTAGAATAAAATAATAAATGTAATAAAAATAATAATAAACCACTAATATAATAAATAACTTTGACTCGAGTATAAGCCGAGGGGGCTTTTTCAGCCTAAAAAAAAGGGCTGAAAAACTCGGCTTATACTTGGGTATATACCGCACATAACGAAGGCTTTGATATAGTTAAAGATTTTCCATATTTTGGCTCAATGATAAATCAGAATGGAAGCTGTGGTCAAGGAATCAAAAGAAACCAGACAAGATCCTGAAGTGTCAAGATATGCAATTGAATACTAAAGTTAAGATTGTCCATGCCTTCATATTTCCAATCTTTATGTATAATTGTGAAAATTGGACAATTGAAGCCAGCCGGTAGAAAGAAAATCAATTCATTTGAAATGCGGTGTTGGAAAAGATTTCTACAAATGCCACAGAATACTAAAAAGACAAATAAATGGATCCTGGAGCCTTTCATTCTTCCTAGAATTTTATTTTATTTACGACATTTATATGCCACCCTTCTCACCCCGAATGGGACTCAGAGCAGCTTCCAAAATATATATGCATACAATATACTATATTATTAGCATAGTACAATATCAGTATTAAATATTACTATATTGTATTATACCACTATATTGCAATATTATATAAGAAGCCAAAATAAGTAACTTGAGACTGTCATACTTTGGATATATCATGAGAAGACATGACTCTCTAGGAAAGTCAATAATGCTTGGTAAGCTAGAAAGCAGTAGGAAAAGGAGAAGATGGCATTACAGATGGATATATTCAATCAAAAAACATCAAAGAAACCAAGTTTATGGCAACAAGAATGATTGACAACTGGGAAATATAGGGAGAAAACGTGGAGGCAGTGACAGACTTTGTATTTTTAGGTGAAAAGATTACTGCAGACGCAGACTGCAGCCAGGAAATCAGAAGACGCTTACTTCTTGAGAGGAGAGCAATGCCCAATCTTGATAAAATAGTGAAGAGTAGAGATATCACACTGGCAATGAAGATCTGCATAGTTAAAGCAATGGTATTCCCCGTAGTAACCTATGGATGTGAGAGCTGGACCATAAGGAAGGCTGAGTGAAGGAAGATAGATGTTTTTGAACTGGGGTGCTGGAGGAAAGTTCTGAGAGTGCTTTGGACAGCGAGAAGATCCAACCAGGCCATCAGGCCATACTTCAGGAAATAAAGCTCGACTGCTCATTGGAGGGAAAGATATTAGAGACAACGTTGAAGTACTTTGGCCACATCATGAGGAGACAGGAAAACTTAGAGAAGACAATGATGCTGGGGAAAATGGAAGGAAAAAGGAAGAGGTGCCGACCAAGGGCAAGATGGATGGGTGGCATCCTTGAAGTGACTGGCTTGTTTCTGAAGGAGCTGGGGGAGGTGACGGCCAACAGGGAGATCTGGCGTGGGCTGGTCCATGAGGTCACAGGGAGTCGGAAGCAACTGAATGAATGAACAACAACATATTCAATCAAGGAAGTCACTGCCCTGAATCTGCAAAACCTAACTATTGCTGACGGGTTGACTCAGAGATCTTTCATTTATAGGGTCACCACTAAATTGAAGCATACATGCAATGAATAAATGGAATATACAAAATGTGGTACTAGGTTCTATTGTATGGACAAATAGCACTGTAACTACAACTTTCAAGTAATGGCATTCTTAATATGTATAAGGTTTATGCATTTAGTATTTGTACGTCCTGTGGAAGGAATCCAAAAAATCTAAGCACTTTACTTCATAAATCAATAGTATGTTACAAAGACCCAGATTTTAAATCCATGCAAAGGTCCAGATTTCTTTAAGTCGGAGTTTTAAAAATATGTATTACTTTAACATAAACACATAAAAGTCTAGGGGAAAACTGGCCGAGAACTACAATTGCTTCTTCATAACTGGGAAAAAGCCTCAGTGTGTTAAACTCTTCCAACGGCCCTTGGGAAAGAAGGACTTAATAGTTACTGTTAGCTCAATATTCTAATTTTGGATACTGAAAAAGGAGCCAAAATGATCCACCAGCTTGTTGGAGAAGCGAATATAAAAATGAAGTTCATTTTTTAAAAAAAGTTCTCATATTACTCTCTTGAAGCTATTTAGAGACGTGTGTATATTTAAAGCACAGCAGGACCTAGAAAATTTGTTAGTTTCCAAGTGCGCAGTTAAAAAGCTCCTGCACATTTTTTACACTTTATTTTTAAATCTTGCTGCCACAGTTCTGACATTTTGTACATACAGTGTGCTCTTGGTATCTGTTGGGGTTGGTTCCAGGACACACCATTGATACCAAAATCAGTGGATGCTCAAGTTCAATTACATACAATGGCATAATAGATTGTTGCTCCTTATAGAAAATGACAAATTTTGCCAGAAGATCTGTGAAATAGTTGGAGTCATAACAGGATATACCTACATGTGGCATATGTGCAGGATGTGGCAAAATTAAGGTTTGTTTCTTTAAGAAAATCAAATAAAATTGTGTTAGAAGTGACTTGAGAAAATGCAAGTCCCTTCTGATGTGAGAGAACTGGCCATCTGCTGAGACGTTGCCAAGGAGACACCCAGATGTGTTGCCATCCTGTGGGAGGCTTCTCTCATGAGCTGCAATTGGTTGAATCCTGGATGCAAATCCTGGGTGTCTGTTAATGGTCCAAGATCAGGAATTTGATTAAATGTCAGAATATAATTTTTGAAATGGTCAAATATGTTTTAGGCAAGAGTAACTTTTAAGTCAAAAAATATCTGGGAGTGGGGTCCACTGTGATGGGTTATAACTCCAATTTAACAAGAACTGTATTACAATTTCAGGAAAGGTAGTATGGAAGTGGCAAGTCTCCAAACTATCACTTGCTCTTTGTTGATATGGCTAAGAGATCCGCTCACCTTTCTAGTATTTTTAAAAATGGTATTTATGACATGCAATCATTATTTTTTTAATCGTTTCAAAAGCAACTTTTAGAAACTGGCCATCTGCAGAGACGTTGCCCAGGAGATGCTTGGATGTGTTACCACCCTGTGGGAGGCTTGTCTTTTGTCCCTGCATGGGAAGCTGGAGCTGACAGTCAGGAGCTCACCCCTTCTGGTGGATTCAAACCGTTGACCTTTAGGTCAGCAGTTATGCGGGCACAATGGTTTACCCCATTGCACCACAGTGGCTTCAATGATTATTGAATAGGTAAGCGGCTTGAATCCGCGAGATGGACCGAGCTCCCATCTGTCAGCTCCAGCTTCCCATGCGGGAAAATCTGTCAGGGGTGCTATGAACGTGAGTTTCCTGCTTCTTGGCAGAGGGTTAGACTGGATGGCCCAAGATGTCTCTTCCGACTCTATGATTCTATGACACGAGAGTAGCCTCCCACAAGAGGGTAGCACATCCAGGCGTCCCCGGGCAACATCTCTGCAGACGACCAATTTTCTTGCATTGGAGGCAGTTTGAAGTTTCTCAAGTCACTTCTGACACCATAAAAATAATTAAATAAAAACACAAAGCTGGAAAGAATAATCTGCTAGCGCACAAAGGACAAAATCATTGCTAAACTGGGAGAGCGGAGGGATAAGAACACTGAAATGATAACACACACACACAAATATATAATTAAAACAATGTGGACAGTTCTGTCTCATGGGGCACACTATCACTGACTTTTAAAGTGGAGTTTACCAAGCAAAGCCATTCAAAGGCACGTAAAATGAGAGGCTTCAATCTACCTCCTGCAATGTAAACCAGGATAAAAGTTAGGTTTTGAAATAACACTGTGTATATTAATTGACTGACTCACTGCCAGGATGTTTGTGTTATCAGTAACAACAGTTTTCTCAATGGTCATTATTAACAGGATTGAGTGTACTTCCTTGCATTTCGTTCTGAGCGCAGTGTTCACAGTCCCTCCTTCCCTCCCCAATGTGGGTTTACCAGTCCTTCAGATGCCATAAGGATCTATGTTGGAAGAGATTAACACAGCCATCCCTCTGGAAATGGTTTTATAAATTAGCCCAAGCAACAGGATATCACTGCTTTGTTTCAATCTTGGTAATTTTACTTTTTTATTAATACCAACACAACTAAGAGTCTTCATTAATATCAATAAGGAATGAATAAGTATAAAGGAACTTTGTACAGGAATACAGTTATCAAATATGCATGGAATCCTTCAAATTGCAGCAGAACTGTAGAAGACTCATAGTT